AAATAAGGTTTATTTCGAATACATTCTTTGTTAATGTGATTTTCAAGTGTTGGCTAAAATGGGACATTCCAGTAAATAACGATGAAAATGTCTTCATGTCTTCTTTATCCTTAATAAAAGTGATGGAAACTTGGAAACTTCATGAATATAAAATTCATGAAAATATGTATGTTGTCCCAACTGGCGACAATTTGGTTCTCATAAAAGGATAAAATATCAAAACTCTGTTATCATAATTTCATAGTAAGAAATAAAGTGCCCTTTGCTGTAGAAAGATTGAGGGTGGTCTTTTTTGGAATGCCCAAAATGATGTCAATTTGGAAAAGGTCAAGATTGAAATTAAAACTGGAGCGAACAACCTCAGACAGGATACGGTTGTTCACCATTACATTACTTCTTGCTTTTTCCTGCTGATGGGTGTTTATGAATGTATTTACTTTATATTTGGAGTTTCTTTAATTTAAGGTGTTTTCTTCAGACATGCACACTAGCTTATTATTAGATACAGTGTTAAATACTTGTTTGCTGTTCATGTATCACTGCTGAGCGTAATGGAAACAGCTAAGATTACAGACATGTTGTGTTCGGTGGTTCTGGAGAGCCTTTAATATCACTGCATTAATCAACAACAGGATCATTATTTTCTATTATGGTAATACTTCACATAGATTACACTGTAGCAGGCTAATTGCTGTCTATGAATGAAGTGCCATGCAGCCCTGCAGTCTGGCAGTATGATGGACCACAAACAGCTGCGGCTCACAGAGTAAGGTCACACGCACACACACACACAGACACAGACACACACACACACACACACACACACATACACACACACACAGACAAACACACAGACACACACATACACACACACACACACTCTCTCACTCTATCTCTCTCTCTCACACACACAGACAAACACACACACACACACACACACAGACACACACACACAGACACAGACAAACACACACACACACACACACACACACACACACACACACACACACACACACACACACACACACACACACACACACACACACACACACACACACACACACACACACACATATACACTCACTTGTCGTCAGTCTTTCCACCAATGCAGTAGACCAGTCCTTTGTGGGAGATGACAGCATGGCCGTGGATCTTCAGAGGAAGCTTTTTGGTCTCACTCCACTTCATTTTTCTGAAGAATTCATATTTAAAAGTTACACTTTAACAATCTAGTTGTGCATTGATATTATGCTGCTCGTAATACGAAATGCTTAATTGTTACATGGGTGTTTTTAACATAGCCAAATCAATCTATTTTTGTGATAAAGATTAAAAGTTCAAAAAATAGTTAAAGTTGAAGAAAAAAAAGCGCTAAGATTATTGAAGGAATCAATTAAGCAGGTGAGATCACACCAAAACACGATTTAAAAATAAATTAACACCATATGTATATTTTATATTTTTAAAGGAAGCAATATTGTCAACTTTCCTGAAGTTAATTATCACCTTGAAACTCAACAAAGTGAAAGGTAGAGCGACAAATAGAGAAAAAAGCAAACAATGCTTCAGAACTAACTCAATATCGAAGCACATGACAGTGTCCAGCGACTCGTTGCTCTGGAGGTCTTTTCCTGCCACGGCGAACAGCAGGTTGTCGCTCTCTCCGATGTTGAAGAGGCATCTTGGAGAAGGCATGGGCGGCAGGGCGACCCATTCAGAGATGAGGGGATCCAACTGTGGGAAATACATTAAAATGACCTCTTAGCACCCATTGTCTGTGTCTACATGTCCTGGTGAAGACAGGAATGGATCATCATACTGTAGTGTATCGAATATGCTTTCAAATGTATTAAAGCCTTTATCAAACCTTTAAGTATCTGTGTCACTTAGGCCTGATGAGCAACAAGATACATCTATTGTTTTCAGAAGATGTAACTATCCCAGTCATTCTAAGGGTCATTGAAAAGGCAAAGCAGTTTTAGATGGTTAAGTAGGACTGTTTGTGAGCTAACACTACAGTTATTGTTTTCTTGAAAACTCACAATCTTTTAAGAAACTACAAACTGTGTTTTATCAAGAATAGTTGGACATGGTAATTTTAAGCATTTGATTTCTTGCCAAGAGTTTGAAGAGAATATTTATACCACCATCATGTCTTTACAATAAATAGTAAATATAGCCAGCAGGTGGTTAGCTTAGATTAGCTCACAGACTGGTGGCAGGAGGAAATAGCTAGCCTGACTCTAAGTAAAGTCAAACTCAATTATTTCTTAGAGTAGACTTACAGTTGTAGCTTATTAATTTACTTTTATCCTGATTATATATCTGTTTGATAAATAAAAAATGTAAAACGGACGGAGCCATGACATGCTAGCTGTTGCTCTCTGCTACCAGTACTTTTGGTTAGCTAAGCAAGCGGTCTACAAGCTTCATATTATTTAAACTCCTAGATAAGACAGTATGTGTTCCCATCTGAAAGAAAGTGAATACGAATATTTCTAAAAGTGTCAAAAATATTTCCTAATTCTTTTTAGTATCAAATGAAAGAAAAGCCTGGTTACCATGAAAAAGTAACATTGGAGGGGTAGATCTTTGTTTTCCTCATCCACAAACACTCCTCCAATGACGTAGAGCTGGTTCTTCTGTGACGCCAGGCTGACGTGGTTACGTGGCACCTGCTCCGACATGGCCGCCAGGAAGCACTCGTTCTCGTTGACATCATACGCCACCGATGCGGTATCATTAATCATGACGATGAATTCGCGTCCGTACATGCCTTGTCTTCGGTTGTCATTCAGGAAACCTGGGAAGGGGCTTTCCTCCTCCTCTCCTTCCTCCCCCTCCTTCTTCGCGGGTGTCTCTGGAAGTTTTCCCTTGAAGGCATCGCTGATGACCTGGATCGTCTTCTGGAGCTCCGGGTCCGCCTTGATAATATCATCGGACTCTACTTTGTCTTGGAAGTACTTCTCCGGCAGCAGGCGGAAGCGGATGCAGTTGAAAGCATCCTTCAGGACCTTGACTCGCTCTTTGTCATAACGTACCCATGCCATGACCGCCTCAAACACCAGCTCCTCCTTCGCCACATTCAATGAGTCTCCGCCGATGACTGCGAACAGTTCGTGGGCCGCAAGCTTGAGGAACTCATCTTTGTTGTAAAGGAGTTCGAAGCGGTCTGCGACGTAGTTGCGTGCGGCCACAGCGAGTCTCGGACAGCTGATCACCAGGCCCATCCTGAAGATCGCCAAGCAGTTTCCCAGAGACAACTTCTTGAGAAGGTAATTTACACAGACTGTAAAGACAGAAGGGATCTGGAATCTGTTGGCCACAGCAATTATATCCTGGACATTGTCATCGGTGAGGTCAATCTCGGCTGAGTAGAGGTACTGAATGACCATATCCAGGATGGAAGGATTGACTTCCTCCAGGACCACCTCCTTGGTGTTCTCCACCTCCTTCCCATCCTCTGTGAAGAAGATATCCCTGAAGTACGGGCTGCAGGCGGCCATGATGAGCCGATGGCAGGGGAAGCTTCTGTCGCCTACCTTCAGGGTGCAGTCCACAAACTTGTTCTCGTTAAGCAGCTCCTTCAGCCCATCCTGAAGCAGGGTGCTCTGAAACAGGCGCAGCTCTTCCTTGATGGCGTTGGGGTCCATGGTGTGTCACTGGGGGGTCTGCAGAGAGAGGAAGGAGACGGCGGCCACAGGTCCTTTTGGCAGTCGGTCCTGGCTGGAAAAGGGAGAGCAGAGAAAAGGGTCCCCGAGTGAAGACTCTGCAATTCAATCCCGTCCCCCTCTAAATATAGCTCCCTCTGCCTCCTTCAGCTTTAGTGGAATCTGACTGGGCCAAGTCACGGCGCACTACAGGCCTCGGCTCGAGCAGCTGCTGTCACAGACTGAAAGAAGCAACTGGCTGCTCAGGCTGGGGATCTGCCATCATGATTCAGCTCCCAAAGTGTCATATGGCCGACTAACAGTAGAAACAATGCTGTCAAAACCCTTGAATAGCTCGCCACAAGCTGCACATATGACCGAGAGGTGGTTTAGAGCAGACGCTGTCACTTTCAAAAATATATGAATGAGATCATCATTTCATTTAAATCAGATTTTCATTCATTCATTTATTTACTTCCTTTATTCAGTCTGAAACAGCCAAACAACTGATTTAGTCTTTACTTTGCAATTCATATACCGGGACGTAGCAACCGAGACAGTTAGTATCCATAATTACGTCCCTATTACTGTCACTGATACAATCACAACCATTCCTTTACTTAAAACATTTTCAAAGCCTAATTTACCATCTTGTTATAAAATTCACCAAACTTTCCATTTACAGTCATAAAAAAGAAAAGCAGCAGATACCACATTTGAATCAGCAAATTGGGTATTTTTCTTGAAAGGCCGAAGCGTGATCTAAATGGTTGCTAAATTATGTGTTTTTCGACACTTAGTCCACAAATCGTCTAATTTTTAAAGTCATGTTGAAATGTTGTTTGCTTTTACCTCTATAATATCTTATTTCTTACCATTTATTTTTCATTTCATACTTTCTTCTAGTACTTCACAGTTTGTTCCTTCGCTGAATCATTTGCAACATTTCCTGAAAGAGACAAAGTCAAAACAAAATCCACTCTCGTTTTTTCTTATATTTTCACAGCATGGCAGATTGAAGAGCACACACACATTGTGCTAAAAATGGATCAGTAAAGTTTGTGTGTAGCAGCTGTGTGCAAAAACAGGTGACACCACACACACACACACACACACACACACAC